AAAAAAAAAAAAAAGAGTTATCTCCATAGTGTATGAGAGTATGTTCAAGTGAGTGGGCCTGAAGAGGGCATCAGATCCCCTGAAGCTGGAGTTACAGAACCTAGTAGCTGCCTGATATGGATGCTGGGAATTAAACTCGGGCCCTCTTTGTGAACAATGCACACTCTTAACTGAAGAGTGATCTCTTTAGCCCCTACCTATATTAAGCAAACATACAGACTAGAAAATGAGATACATATGTGTCCATAGGTTATAGCACTGGTAAATGAACTGGGGACACAATATGATCAGATATTTATAGTATTGACATTTAATACATATTAATATGTAAATATCTTTTATTTATATCTCGTTTGCCTTTATCTTCCAACTTAAACACAGCAAAAACTCATGTCACATGACACAAAAATCACAGTCCCAATTAAAATTTTTTCACCAAAAATCTTTTTTACTGCAGACACCTTATCATATCCTTATTGGCCAAAGTATCCTAAATCCTTGTGTCTCCTTAAATACAGCACAGTGAAAGCCCATGCCCACAGGGGCCTTTGCTCTTCACACAGGTCTAGATAACATCATTCCTATCCCCAGGCTTTCTCCCGGTAAACACTCTATTATAGGCTCCTCCCCTTTCAATCTGCTCCCTGCCAACTCCAGAATGTGGTATCAGAAGCCAAACAGTAAAGAACTAAAGATTCTCACTTGTTAGACGGCACACAGCCTTGAATGCCCATAGCACTGCAGGACAGCTTATCCATTTTTCCAGGAAATACTGTATACTTAGCACAGCAACCCAGCTTCCATATTAATCCGTATAGTAGTTATTATAATGTAGGCGGCACAGAGGTCCCTGTGCTCACAGATAAGGACTAAGGGAACCGGAAATGTTAAACACACAGGGCTGTCCCTCCAAATTACCCAATCCACCCAGAAGGCTGGGAGTGGGTGTGGTTAATAGCCTGGTGACCTTTGTGACCACACTGAATCCTCCCCAAACCCTTGTCATAAGCTTATTTTTCTCAGTCAATTTATAGCCCATCTTTATGGAAAGTGTCACATGTACTTTATGAAGAGTTTCGTGTGATCACCTCTGCTCTTTATTTAGCTCACTGTGTTCCTGGAGGAGATTTATGTGTGCTTTGTTATACACACAGGATTGAGTTCTTTACTGGCAGGGAAGTTTTCACCAAATTGTGCTGTGCTTAAATAAACCTAAAATAAACTCCTCAGGGTCACACTCCCCAATGCTTGTTAGTCATGTTGAACCAAAGTGCCTGCCTTCCTCCCTAAGGTCATTTACTCTGCCTGCTGTGGTGGCCTGGTGGTTGCAGAGAGCCCTGAGTAATAATAATATTAACACCACACTCAAACCGAGCGAGTTAACCAGCCACTAATTATAATACTGCTTATAACAATCAAAAATACTTTTAAGGTCCGAACAGAAAACTGTTAAACAAATCAAAGATTACTCATGTAAAAGAACAGTGTAAAGTCGTTAAAAGTAATTGTAGAAGACCAGGAGCCTTGGAGTGTGGCAATAATTAGAATAGAGTCTATTGGAGGAGGAGGAAGAAGAGGAGGAATGGAAGGAAC